GCTCACATCGAGGCAACAGACTAAGAAATTAATGTTACAACTCACTTTATAAACTTTTTGAGCAGTCACACAAAGCAAAAGCATATTGACAGTAGTTCTAGCTAATCATTATAAGCACACGTACCTTTAGTTAAATTATTTCAAATACAACACTTGCTTGTGAGCTTTAAGCTACAATGCACAGAGCTCCATTATTAAGCGTAGATTTTCTTAATATTTCACCAGATAGACTTCTCTGCAATTTAGGAAGTTGTTCTACTCAAGTGTTAATACACAGATTGTTGTTTTATTTGTATTTTCTTTTTACTTGTATACTTTTTCTGCTGACAAATCTTATAGCTGCTGCTTAGCTCCAATCACCATCCTGCAGGAATGGGGGCATGGGATGGGGCAGGAATGGGACATGGATGGGGCAGGAATGGGACATGGATGGGGCAGGAATGGGACATGGATGGGGCAGAAATGGGGCAGGAATAGGGACATGGATGGGGCAGAAATGGGGCAGGAATAGGGACATGGATGGGGCAGAAATGGGGCATGGGATGGGGCAGGAATGGGGACATTGGATGGGGCAGGAATGGGGACATGGGATATGGGATGGGGCAGGAATAGGGACATGGATGGGGCAGGAATGGGGACATTGGATGGGGCAGGAATGGGGCAGGAATAGGGACATGGATGGGGCAGGAATGGGGTCACGGGATGGGGCAGGAATGGGACGTGGGGCAGGACAGCGATGGGAATACAGCACAGGGCAGTGATGGGGACACAGGACCCGCAGGGGGATTTATGCGGGGCAGGTCGGTGCCACAGCTGTTCGGAAGTGCGGCAGCAGCTGCTGCGGCCGTTCCGGTACGGGCTGGGAGCAGCGGAAATCCTCGGGGATATTGCGGGTGGGGGCGATGCCCCGGGGGTGTCGGGCACTGCCGTGGGGCGGGGACATCAGAGCCGGCGGGATTGGCGAGGATTTGGGGTTCGCTTCCCAGCCGCTGCGTGAGACCAAGACTCAAGTCAAGGCTGCCGTTAATCCAGACTTTAATCCGCTCTAAATCCCATTTTAATCTGTTTAATGCCACCTCTGGGAATTAGGATCCCGCGCCGCGGCTCCTGCCCACGGAGCCGGGAGGAGGGAGGCGAAGGATGCTCCCGATGCCGGGGGGCTCAGAATCTCTGGCATGTCGGGGGGTCCCCGGCACCGGGATGAACCGACAGCCGCGGCCCCCAGGCCTGAACATTCCCGCCCACGCCGCGCTCGGCCGGCAGCACGGCAGCCCCCACGCCTTCCCCTCTTCCCACGGGTGTCACATCCCCTCGTGGGGCCGCTGTGTGCAGAGGAGGGGGAGCTTTGCAGGACCCCGCGGCGCTGCCCACGCTCAGCCCGGTCCGGCAGCGCCCTCCTCAGCTCTGGCTCATCAGCGCCGCCGGCGTCCCACGCGTGATCCTCTCCCCCGGCGTGTCCCCGTCACCCACCCGTGTCCCCGTCACCCACCCGGTCCCCGTCACCCCCGTGCAGGCTGGGGGGGGGGCCGTGCCCGCCCCACGCGCGTTACCGGGACCGGCCCACGCGCGTTACCGGAACCGACCCACGCGCGCGGGACCCGCGGGGACGCGCCCGCCCTGGCCCCGCCCACGCCCCATCCGCGCCCTCCCATTGGCTGCTTCGTAGCAAGCCCCGCGCCGCCATTGGCTGGCGCCGCCCGCGGGACACGCCCCCCGGCCCCGCCCCCGCCGCTCCCGGCCCCGCGCGGGACTCGGCGGCGACCGAGGGCGGGAGGCCCCGACCCGCCGGGAACCGGCACCGGGAGCCGGGAACCGGGCTCTGAGAGACGGAACCGGCACCGGGAACTCCACACTGAGAGCCGGGAACCGGCACCGCCAGCCGGACACTGAGAAACGGGAACCGACACCGGCAACCGGCACCGGGAACCGGACACTGACAGCCGGGAACTGGCACCGGGAACCGGCACCGGGAACCGGGAACCAGACACTGGGCACCGGGTACCTGGAACCAGACGCCGAGAATCAGACACCGGGAACAGGCACCGGGCACCGGACACCGGGAACCGGCATCGGGAATCGGGAAACAGATATTGGGAACTGGCACCGGGCACCGGACATCGGACACTGGACACAGGGAACCAGCACCGGGAAACAAGAACCGGACATCGGACACTGGGACCGGCACCGGGCATCGAAGACCGAACGCCGGACGTCGTCACCGGGCATCGGCATCGGGGACCGGGCACTGGCAGCGCCTGCGGGAGCCCGCCGGGCAGGGAGGGCTCCGGGGGAAGCGGGACCCTCCGCCTGGCCCCGCCCCGTCCAGCCCCGTCCCGCCCCGTCCCGTCCCGCCGGGGGCACCGGAGAAGCCCCGGTCCCGGCGCCGCTCTCCCCGAGTCAGGCTGCAGGTAAGGGCCGGTTCCCCCGGTACCTCCCGGTACCTCCCAGTTCCTCCCGGTCCCCCCGGTTCCTCTCATCTTCCCCGGTCCGTGTGGGCGGGGGCGCTCGGTACCGGCCGTGCTTGCGCTGCGGGGCGAAACCTCTCGCCCTCCATCCCGGGAATCGTCCGTGTGTGTCCCCCCCTCTCCCCGGTGTCACCGGGCACCGACGGCGGCGCGCAGCCCCCGGCCCTCGGGAGCGCGCGGGGGGAACGGAGCGTTTGGGGAGCTGCGGGGCGGGCAGGGCCGGGGGCGCTCCCGGCAGCCCCTGGATGCGCCTCGGCTTTCCCGGGTGGATAAAACACGGGGAAAAGGCGATTTCCCCCCCAGATTCAAGGGAAACACGACGGGGCCGGGGCCGGTGGGTGCCGGATAACGGGAGCTGGGAGGAGGCACCGGAGCCACCCCCGTGCCGGGGCAGGGCCGGGTACCCCATGGCAGCACTTGGCTCCGAGCATCGCCTGTCCCTCCTCCCACTCCTGCGCTCCAGAGGGTGAAATTCCTCCATTCCTGGAAATCCTAATCCCCGTGGAGAGGCCAGATCCCTCCGGGGCCACGGGCTGCGTGTAAAACTCCCAACTCTGACTCAGTTTCCCTGGAGCAGGGAAGGATTTGGGCCCTTCTTTACTTGACCCCAAGCCCAGCGTTGGATCCCAATTGTCCCATGGAGTTTTCCTCCTTCCCGGAGAGCGACTTTGTCCTCCAGATCCCGAGGCAGGAAGCGTGTGATGTGCCCTGGCCCCCGCCGCAGCCGGACAGACGGACGGATGGTGGTTTGGCCTCAGTTTCCCCCCTCCCAGCCTCTGTTTTCTACTTCCCCATAAGTCTCCAGCTGCTCCAAACCAAGGAGAAAGGAAGTTGCTGCCAGAGGGAGCAGCTTGGTGGCAGCTGGAGAAAGAAAAGGAGGAAATGGAAGGCGAGACAGATGCTCCAAAATAACCCCCCCTTCCTCCTCTCTGTAAAATACCCCTTTTCCTCCTCCTCTTCCTCTGCCTTTTCTCCATAAAATCTCCTTTTCTTCCTCCTCCCCTCCATGAAATAACCCCCCTTCCTCCTCCTCCTCCTCCTCCTCCTCCTCCTCCTCCTCCTCCTCCTTCTCTCCTTAAAATAACCTCAATTCCTCCTCCTCCTCCTCTCCAATTTGGCAGCTGCCTCCCCCCCGGGGCGCACTAATCCCAGGGAGAATTCCTTGATGCCACAATCAGCCCCCAGGATGAGCCCCTGCCCCGTTTTTGGGGGGTGAGCACCCCTGAGCCCCCCTCCCTGCGGATCCCAGGATCCCATTCCCACGGGAACCCCACTGCTGTGGGTTCCCCAGCAGTGCCCGGGGGTTCCCCAACCGTGCCCGGCCTTGGCACCACCGGACCCCTCGGATGGGCGGCTCAGCTCCTTGCAGGGACCCCTCGGTGCTGCCAGGCCAAACCAAAACTCCGTCTCCTTCCTTCATGTGGCTTCAGCCTCGTGCTGAAGGGAAGGAGATTTTGGGATGGAGGAGCTCAGATCCCGGTGCCACAGGTGGAGGGGACGGTGATGGGGACGTGGCACCGGCGTTGGCACGGGCAGGGCGAGGTGGAAGCAGCGGTGCCCCCGCATCATTCCCGGTGCCCCCGCATCATTCCCGGTGTCCCCACAGCATTCCCGGTGCCCCCACAGCATTCCCGGTGCCCCCGCAGCATTCCCGGTGCCCCCCAACATTCCCGGTGCCCCCGCAGCATTCCCGGTGCCCTCTCCAGCCGCGGATCCACCCGGCTCTGCCAAGAAAGGAGCTTTTCCTCGGGCGAGGAGGTGTTTGCTCAGTGGTTTCCTCCTGGCCTCACCCCGCTGGGCACACACCGAGCGTGCCCGGCTGCTCTTTGCACCATGGCAACCTGCGAGCGTCCTTCAGCCTTCCTCCCGCTCCTCTCCCTCGGCTCTCCCGGCGCCGGTAACGGGGGCCTGGGAGCTGCGGGGGTCACGGATGGTGGGGGACAGGCTGGAGGTGCTGCTGGGGCTCTCAGGTTACCTCCCTGCGCTGCTGGGATGCAGGAGGGTTTAATTAATTAATAGGGGTTGGAGCACACTGATGGGGGGTGGAGAGCAGTGGGATCCCATCCACCCTCTTGGCATTTAGGCACGGGTTTGGGGGGACTGGGAATGCTGGGGGGCAGAGCAGGGCTGTTTCCCAAAGCAGTGGAAGGAGAAGCCTGTGGGATGGAGGGAAATCCAGGGAGATGGCCACTATTCAGTGTTTATCCTGTCGGGAAACGATGTTTCCGTGTTGGAGGAAACTTGTACAAGACCATCCAAGTTACTACGGCCGCGGTGGGAAGGTGGAGGAGGGAGAGGAGGAGGAAGAGGAGGCAGAGGTGCCTCTGCTCTGAGCTGGAGCTTTGTGGAGCCTCCCCCTCTGTGCTGCTCCATGAATTAATTAAGTGCTTTTCCTTTCCTGCATGAAATATTCACCTGCTGCCAAGGGAACTGGGGAGGCTCGGGGGATCAAATCCATGGAGCTGCCGGTGGGAGCCAGGTGAAAGGGACAGGCAGGGACAGGGATCTTTGGAGCAGGTAAAAATGATAATTGGGATGATATCGCTGCTGGGTTGGACGGTGTTCACTTGGCTTTGCTGTGGTGCCACCGGTGCCAGGTGAGCACAGGTGACAGGGTCTTGTCTTCCCCCCTCAGACAGGAGCTTTCTGATGATGATTGATAATTGATGCTTGTGCTTTCAGTGCTGTGGGAGAGGTTTTTTTGGGAAATCAGGTCACAGCTGGGTGTTGGGTGAGGTGCAGGACTGGTGGGGTGAACACCAAACCAGAGATGTGTGTCCCCAGGGGACCACATCCATCCCGTGACGGGGCCACCCTCTGCGTCCTCACCCAGGACACCTCAGCCCTCACACCACCACTCACTCAGGGCTGCGAGACTCTCCCCAAAAACCTCCAAAACGGGTGGAAACCCTCCAAGAAAGGGCTGTACCTGTCCCCAAAGCCGCCGTGGGGACCACAGCCCTGCCGCACTCTTCCGGAGCAGGGAGGAACTCGGTGGCAGCAGCACTCGGCTGCTCCATTTCTGAAGAAGGAGAAGCTGTTTTTTTAGGGTGTTTTCATTAAAAAGCAGAAGGGGGTGGGGGGGAGCCCAAGCCCTGAGCAGGGCTGGAAACTTCAGCGACAGGAAGGAAGTGAAGTGGGTTATTTCAGGCTGCTCGGGGCAAGGCTCGACTCTTCTGTGTGCTGATAGCAGCCCCTCCTGAACAATGGGGTCGTGGGGCCCTTCCCGGCAGGAAAAAGGCTCATTCCGGTGAAAAATCCCGCTGGTGCTGAGTCAGCAGGTCCTGCTGGGCCGCGTGTGGTGTGGAGGGTGCCAGGGGAACCATCCCGGTGCAGCAGGAGCCAGCAGGAGGTGAGCCTGGGTTTCCTTGGGTTTTGCAGGAAGCAGCTATAAAACCATCTCTGGGCACTGGAGAAGGAGCTGGTTGCATTTTTGGGATCTCCATACCTATATACCACTTTTGGGGTCCTTAGACACCTCCTGCCCCTAATGCTCCGTGCCTCAGTTTCCCTCCTGGAGCGATGCTCCTGGTCCCGGAGTGGGGGAGGGCTGTGAGCAGCCGGGTGTTGTTTGGTGCAGGGAGCAGAGGGTTGATCCATGATTCCAGCTGGCATCTGGGAGCCGTGGGCAGCTCGCAGGACTTGGCACTTCCTATTTTTCATGTGTTCTGGAGGTGGAGTTTGCACTCACTTTATGGCTGTGGTCACCCGCGGGAGAAGCTCGGGTGTGGGAATTCCTATTTATCCAGGCACCATTCCCAGAGCACTCCACAAGGCTGGGGAGGGAAATTCCAGGCTGTCAACAGCACAGCAAAGCCCTGCTCCTTCCGGACAGGATGCCTGGCATGGGTGAATTGAGTTCCCTCACAGCCAGGGCAGAGGAGATGGAGCTGCCTCTGCCCATCCTGCCCATCCCTCCCTCCTGCCCGGCTCAGGCAGCACCTCCTGGATGCAGCCATTGGAATTCCAGCTGCTGGCACCAGGCTCTGCGCTGTCATTTTTGTCTTATTAAGTGTGAGAGCCTCAGCTCGAGGCTCAGGCTGACAAAAATCGATGTTTTCCCGCCGTAAGAAACGCTTCCAAACCTCCTTGTTTTTCCTGAGGGCTGTAAATTACCCTGCAGGTGAGTCTCTGTCGCTGCTCCTGGAATTCTCATCCCCACGGAGCTTTGGCTGCCCTCAGGTTTGGGAGCTGGTGGCTGGGAGATGCTCAGGGAGCCCGGGCTCAGCACCCTCACCCTGGCATGACTGGCTGGGCAGCCTTGGCCGCAGCAGGGCATCTCTGAGGAGCTGGGATTTGCTCCCCAGAGCCTGGTGGGTGCTCCAGAGCGGTGGGAGCAGGACTGGGGATCCCCAGAGGGGTTTAGGATTTTCAGTTTGGCCAGGGGGAAGTGACAGAGCTGTGATGGGGACACTCGGTTCTGTGACAGAATCCCAGAGTTGTGGAATGGTTTGGGTTGGAAAAAGACCAAAAGCTCATCTCATCCCACCCCTGCCATGGCAGGGACAACTTCCACTACCCCAGGCTGCTCCAAGCCCCATCCAGGCTGGCCTGGGACATTTCCAGGGATCCAGGGGCAGCCAGAGCTGCTCTGGGCACCTGTGCCAGGGCCTCAGGTCCCTCTCAGGGGAGAATTCCTTCCTAACATCAAACCTAAACCTGCATGAGCAGTTTATCCCAATCCATCCTCACACCAGCAGCACCCTTCAGCTGAAATATCTCCTCTCCTCTCCTGTATGTATTTATTTATAGGTGATCCCATCCCCTCCTGCTCTGCCGGGCTGTCCCTGCCATGTGCAGGCTCTTGCATAAGCCACTCCCGGCTCTGCCCATCCATCCCGGCTGTTTTTGCTGCTCTCCCCTCCCTGTGATTTGTAGCTCTGCAGTTTCCCAGGCCGAGATGCATCTCCAGGGTCTGTTTGAATCCTTCACGGCAGAGTTTAAAGCCGTGCTCTGCCCGAGGTGACGGATTTGGTGCCGCCGGGATGTGGGAGTTGGGCTGGAGGTGAGGTTCCTGTCTGGGTGAATAATCCACCTCTGCACTGCTGGCTCTGGAGGAGGCTGGAGCAGCAGCAGGACAAGCCCAAGCTTGTGTGGGTGTTCCAGGGTGAGCAGTGCCAGGGAAAAGGGCTCCCATGCCATTCCTGGGTGCTGCAAACCGGCTGTGCCGCTCCGGCCGCGGCCGGCACCGCGGTGGATGTGGCACATGGCACCGGGGGGTGACTCAGCTGCCACCTGGGCTGTCCCCAGCTCACCCTGCAGGAAGTGAGTCAGGTTTTAAGGAAGGAAAAATGTTAAAATGATGGGGCAAGAGTCCTTCCTGCAGCGGGAGGAGGGAGGTGTCGGTTGCAGGAGGGACGCCGGGATGGAGGGTCACGGGCCGTGCTCAGGTAGGGACACCTCGCTCGCTGCAGCCTCCCCACAGAATTGGGGAAAAGGAAGGTGGGAACACCCTGTAACTGATCCCACCAACCAAACCTGGGGGGTGAGCTCAGCTCTCGCCTGCCCTGGCACCCAGGAGCTCCCTCAGTCTCGCTGTCGCACGGGGATGCTCTTTCTCCTGCCAAAAATCTGCGTGGGGAGGTGAGGAATCACAGAATCATGGAATGGTTTGGGTGGGAAGGGACCTTAAAGCTCCACCCTCTGCCGTGGGACACTCCAGCAGCCCAGGTGGGATGGGGACGGACGCAGAGCAGGGACTGATCCGCGTGTGCCTCTTCCCCCGCAGAGATGGACACCTTCAGCACCAAGAACTTGGCCCTGCAGGCCCAGAAGAAGCTCCTGAGCAAAATGGCCACCAAGACCATCGCCAACGCCTTCATCGACGACACCAGCAGCGAGATCCTGGATGAGCTGTACCGGGCCACCAAGGAGTACACCCACAACCGCAAAGAGGCCCAGAAGATCATCAAGAACCTCATCAAGATCGTGATGAAGCTGGGGGTTCTCTACCGCAACGGGCAGTTCAGCCCCGAGGAGCTGCTGCTGATGGAGCGGTTCCGTAAGAAGGTTCACACCCTGGCCATGACGGCCGTCAGCTTCCACCAGATTGACTTCACCTTCGACCGCAGGGTGATGTCCAGCGTGCTGACCGAGTGCCGGGACCTGCTGCACCAGGCGGTCAACGGGCACCTGACGGCCAAGTCGCACTCGCGCATCAACCACGTCTTCAACCACTTTGCGGACTACGAGTTCCTGTCGGCCCTGTACGGCCCGGCCGAGCCCTACCGCACCCACCTCCAGAGGATCTGCGAGGGGGTCAACAAGATGCTGGAGGAGGACAACATCTGAGGGTGGGCTCCCACCAGCCGGACTCTGCCTCCCGCGAGGCCGAAGATGAGATGTCCACTTTGATCTTCAGCGGGCTCGCCGTCCCCTCCTCCTCCTCCTCCTCCTCTGCCGTGTTCTCCTCGTTTCTCCAACCTCTTGACTTTGTCTCCCCTCGCCCAGGGTCTGCAAACCCCTCCCTGCGCCGGGCTGACCCTCTCCAGGAGATCCTGGGATTTTGGGCCCCTGCTGTACAGTTTGATTTCCTTTGCCCACCAAGTGCCTTCAGCCGAGTCCAAGGATTTGGACTCTTTGCCTTGAACTCTGTTGTATCCCTCTCTGTGGGGAAACTGAACCAAAGACTCGCGGTGTGAAGCACCTCTGAGGTGTCTCTGAGCAGGTGGGACGTTGTTGGGGTGAACAGATTGGAGACCCCAAACTGGAGGATTGTGGAACTCTGTGGTTTCCCTCCAGCAGCCCCACAACGCGGTGGGGAGCAAATCAAGGTCCAGACTTGTGCTGTCTCAGGCAGGGAGGTGCTCCTGCCTGAGTTTGGCGTCCTCAAAGACAAGTCCCTGAGACCAGGAGGATCCCTCCTCACCTGGGGGAGAGCTGGGAGGGAGCTGCTCCATCCTGGGATCCCTGGAACCACCCCACACCCAATGCCCACCAGCCTCCTGTGGTGGTGGTGCCACCTGGCAGCTCCAGCGCTGTCCTTGGTGGTCATCCAAAGCTCCCCTGGGATTTCATCCCTTTTCCACGCCCTTGACTGAGTGATATTCGTTTTTAGCAAACTCTGCAAACTCTGTAAAAATGAGTTGTTTAAATAAACTCACCTGTGTGGCCTGGGAGCTCTGTGAGGTTGTTCCAGCAGTGGTGGCAGTGACAGAATCAGCCCTGGGGACAGCTGGCTTTGCCCCCAGGTGGTGGTGGCTCTCTGTGACCTGGGGTTTGTGCCCTCTGTCCCCTGGCAGTGCTGCTGCTTGTGCTGGCCCTGCTCAGCAGCAATTGGGTTTGCATGGACAAAGGGGAATGGCAGGGCTAGGTGGGATATTGGGAAGGAATTCCTCCCTGTGAGGGTGGGGAGGCCCTGGCACAGGCTGCCCCATGCCTGGCAGTGCCCAAAGCCAGGCTGGACAGGGCTTGGAGCAATCTGGGACAGTGGAAGGTGTCCCTGCCCATGGCAGAGGTGGCACTGGATGAGCTTTAAGGCCTCTCCAAACCTCAACCATTCCATGATTTGGTGAGATCCTGCTGCCAGCAGGCACCCACACGTGCTCCTCTGCACCCCCACATCCCCTCAGGGCCCAGGGGACACCTCAGCTCCCCCTGGCCAAGCAGCAACAAAGGTCCACACAGCTGGAGAGGGGAAGAGGGACAGAGTAGAACAGCTTCAGGCCGGAGCACGATGCTTTATTTTTTTATTTGTGCTGCATTTACACAGGAAAGGAATTGCACATTCCCTGTTATTACTCTGGATAAGAAAAAAAAATCACTTTTCTGTAGGTATAAAATAGTCCTGTGGTTGTGCTGACACGTGGAAGGGTTGCCTGGGTTGATTCTTGTGTCAGAATAAGCTGCTCTGTGTTCCCCCAGCCCCACACTCACCAAGGAATTAGAGCTTTGGCCAATTCCCTCCCTCCCTCCCCCTAAATTTATTATTTCCTCCTGTCACACTGGTGGAGAGAGAAATCCCATCTTCCCTCCAGAGACTACAGAGTTAACAACTTCCCTTTAGCCAGCCCTGCTTAAGTCCAGCCCCTTATCTCCCTGCACTGCTCTTCCCAGCCAGGCAGATAAGGAGCCCCTTTCCAGGGAGCTCTGCCCTGCTCAGCCAAGCAGGAAGGGGCACAGGAGGCTCAGGAGCCTCCCAGGGCTTTTCCAGCTGCAAAAATCACGTTGTTACTCTGACACAAGGCAGAACAAACCTGTCCCCACATCTCCAAGCCCCGCTCCGAGTCGGTCCCCAGCACATTTCAGTATGGAAAAAACAGAAAAGGTTTGGCCAACCAAAAGAAAAACCCTGCAGGTAACCAGGAAATCTCTTCACTGCCACGCTGCTCTGGCCATGCCCCCTGCCTGGGGCTGGCCTGGGGTCACAGCTCGTCACGGGGCGTTTTTGCTACAATCATGAGCTTGGACAGCTCGAAACGGAACTTGCCTTCCCTGTGAGACACTGCAGGGAGAGAGAGAAAGGCCCAGCATCAGCAGATGGAAAAGCAGAACAAAACAGCCCTGCTGGGCCCTTCCCAGGGTGTTGGGCACTGCTCTTCCCACTCCTGCACGTGCCAGGCTGGGGGAGAAACCCCTCATTCCACTGGGAGTTTAACACCCACAAAATCCAGCTGTCAGTGCTGGATCCATGGCACTGTCACCAGGATTTGAGCTTAAACCGGTGCCTGGCCTGTCTCCCCTGCCAGCCCCTCTCTCACAGCTCCCTCAGGCACACACCTGACGTTTCAGTCGTTTCAAACTCTTCCTGTTTTAAGGGGATGTCGCTCAGGGCACCCGCAGCAGCCTGAGACTGAAAGAGGAAGGAAGGAGGTGTAAGAGGCTGAGGAAATCCAACAGGTCACAGTGCTCAAAACAAACAACAGCCCACTGAGAATGAGATTTGCAGTGGAAGAATGGATTGCACAAAGGAAATCTGAAGGAAAATCTCTGTTTTTCTGTTTCCTATCAAACCACGGACTCGTGTCCTTAGGGTGAGTGAAAGCCTCACCCCTGGAAACTGGGAAATGGAAGAACGAAGCAGACAAAAACAGCAGCAGAGGTTTGATTTGTGCTGTCACCTGCAATCAGCTGAGGCAATCCAAGAGTCCCTTTGTGCCCTCTGGAGCCCCCTCCCAGCAAACCCCTGTGGCTGAACACAAGGGAGCAGGCTGCCCACCTGCAGCCCCTCTCCTGCCTGCCACCAGCCTCTAATTAGGGACGTGATGGAGCTACACTTCATGGCACAGATGTCTAATAAATGTTTTCCATGTCTAATTCGTGTTTTATAGCAGCCTCCCACACTCCTGCTTCCCGGGATCAGCTGGGACTTACATAAGCCATGGCATACTCTATCTTGGCTCCTTTCACTTCAGCTTTAAACTGGGTAAAGAAGAGATAAGACTTCCCTTGGGGCCTGAAAGGAGAAAGCAGAGCCTTTGTCATCTGGCACAGAGGTGCAGAGGAGGAGGAGCAGAGGAGTGAAGGATTCCTGGCTCCCTCCCTCCTCCCCATCCCACAGCCACCTCTGGATTTCTTGCAGCTTTTGTGCAGAGGGGAAGAGAGAATTTATAAACCAACAGCTGCATGAAAAGCCCCCAAAACCACAGCATCCCTGGGAGAGGAAAACCCTCCCCGACCAGATGCAAATCCAGCAGGGAAGCCGGGTCCTTGTCCCTGCCCCGCAGCCACCCCTGTGGTGGCCCTGCTCAGGACACACCTCCAGATGGAGCAGGAGAAGAGCCCGCTGTCCTCGCTCACTCCCACGGTCATCTGCCACTGCTGCAGGGGGAAAATCCAGAGTCAGCGTGGGGAAAACCCTCCGAGGCCAATCCCTCCCCTCCGAAATAACCCAACAACCACCCCCAGCACTCGCTGCTGGCCCCTCCTGCTCCCTGCAGCCAGGACTGTGCTGTCACACAGACAGCTCCCGGTCCATTTTCCCTTTGGGATGAGAAAAAGGAGCTGCTCACAGCAGGACAGGCCCGGGGCTGGCCCAGCTCACCTCGGGGCTGGCCCAGCTCACCTCGGGGCTGGCCCGGATCACCTCGGGTTTGCCCAGCTCACCTCGGGTTTGCCCAGCTCACCTCGGGGCTGGCCCAGCTCAGCTCGGGGCTGGCCCAGCTCACCTCGGGTTTGCCCAGCTCACCTCGTTTGTGCCTCCCTGGGCCGAGTAGGTGAAGGTGCAGCCGTAATCCCCCTGCCAGAGAGAGGAACAGGAGCTTTTCTCTCACAGAACCCAGGAATTGCTGAGCTTGGGAAAGGCCAGCACTGCCGAGGCCACACCGAGCCCCCGTCCCCAAGTGCCACAGCCACACGGCTTTAAATCCCCCCAGGGATGGGGACTCCACCAGTGCCACAGTGCCAGTGCCTGGCCTCCCTTTCCATCAGAATATTTCCCAATATCCAGCCTAAACCTCCCCTGGCACCACCTGAGGCCATTTTCTCTGGGATGAGGACTCGTGTTTCGGGGTGCCCAGGGACCCCCAGCCCCTTCTGCACTGGGGCCTTTCCCTTGCTGAGTCCCCTTCCATGAGGACCCTTCTTTCTTTGAGACCCCCTTCCCCTGTCCCTGCCCTTGGGGTACCCCTGATCTCCTGGGGGGCTGTTATCCATTCCTGGGGGTCTCCTCGCTCCAGAAGCTGCCCCACCTGGGGAACCCCTTCTGCTGGAGGACCCCACCTGGGGACTCGCTTCCCCTCGAGGATTCCCTTCTCTATGGAGGCTCCCTCCCTCCTGGAGTACCCCCGTTCTCCCTGGGGTCCCCCTGCCCTTGTAACCCCCTATGGGGACCCCGTTCTCCCTGGGGTCCCCCTGCCTTTAGAGCCCCCATTCAAAGACCCCCTTTCCCTTGCAGACCCCCACACTCCCTGGAGCCCCCCTGCCCTTGTAGCCCCTTTTGGGACCCCCTATCCTTTGCAATCCCCGCTCTCCCTGGGGTCCCCCTTGCCTTTAGAGCCTCCCTTTGGGGACCCCCTGTCCCTTGCAGACCCCCACACTCCCTGGGGCCCCCCTGCTCTAAAGCCTCCGTTTAGGGACCCCCTTTCCCCTGCAGACTCCCGTTCTCCCTGGAGCCCCCCTGCCCTCGTAGCCCCCCCTTTGGGGATCCCATTTCCCTTGCAGACCCCCACACTCCCTGGGGTCCCCCTATTCTTGCAGCCCCCTTTGGGGACCTCATTTCCCTTGCAGGCCCCAGCTCCCCCTGGAGCCCCCCGCCCTTGGAGCCCCCTTTGAGGACCCCCTTTCCCTTGCAGACCCCCGTTTTCTCCCTAGAGCCCCCCTGTCCTTGCAGCCCCCTTTGGGGACCCCTTTCTCCCTGGGGACCCCCCCCACCCGCTCGCCCCGCCCTCCCGCGCGCCCAGCCAATCCCCACAGCGGGCGATATGAGTGACGTGTCGCGCAGCCAATCAGCGAGGGGCGCGTACCCTCTCCGCTCCCGCTCCCTCCCTCCGGGCCGCTCACCAGGCTCCGGGAGAAGGAGTGAACCTCCCCGCCGGGCCGCACGTCGAACTCTGCCGTGCTCGGGGCCGCTCCCGGGGCCGTGCCCGGTTCCGCGGCCGCGCGGGCCGCCAGGCACAGCAGAGCCGCGGGCAGCAGCGCGGCCCACGCGCGGCAGCCGCTCCTCCTGCTGGGCGCCGCCATCTTGGAGAGGAAGAGCGGGCTATGGCGGCCGGCAGGGGTCAGCGCGACGGCACGGCGGCCATGTTGGGTGTGGGCAGGAGCCCGGGCGGGCCAAAGTGGCGGGGACCGCGCAGGGACAGCAGGACATGGGGACAGCAGGACAGACGGACAGAAGGCCCTGTGGTCAGGGGACTGAGGCACCACGAGGATAAGGTGCCGTGGGGACAAGGGGCTGTGGGGACAAAGCACAGCAGGATGGCCGGGCTGGGAGGACACCCTGGAGAGTGCTGAGCATGGTGAGAGGGAGCATCCAGGTTGGATGGGGCTTGGAGCAACCTGGAAGGTCTCCAGGGAGAAGATGGGCTTCGATTCCCATCCAACCCAAGCCATCCGTGGTGCCAAGATTAACCAAGACTTTTAATTGCTTCTTGCTGCAGAGGAACAAAAGCTCTTGTCCAGAAGGACACAGCTGTGGGTTCGCGGGCAGGGCGGGAAGGAGGCAGAGCTGTCCTGGCCCAGG